CAGATTCGTTCTGAATGAATCTCTTCCCAAATCGTCCCTCCCTAACATTTTCGTCTCGTTTTTATTCGTTGACGAAAATGTCAATACATTTTCATCATAGTTTTTGTCATTCAAAAAGAGTTTTAGTTCCTTATCGTCGGTGAAAAAAATGTTGTTGACGAAAATTATAACGAAAATTATTTGTCAATGAAATTAACACTGCATCACAACAATCCATAAGTAATCCACACGACTCCAATCTATCGATTAATGTCTTGTGAAGTGAAAAGCTACATGATTGTAAAAAAAAAAAATCCATCAATAAAAGGTGTTTTAACTTTAAACTGTTACTTCTGGTGAAATACCAGTCCATAATTCATAATAATGCTTCCTCGACTTAGAAAGTCCATCCCCTGTTATCCTCTTACACCAAAAACCACCAACATATTTGCTTAGAACTGTTTTTGTAGAGTGTTTTTGCTTGTAGGCGGTGCTTGATCTGTGCATGTTTCTCTCCCGATTCAGATAAGTCAGCTTTTTCAGTTGAACAGTTGAATTTAGATCTACATGACCACTTTTCACTCTCTTTGGCCCTTAGAATTCTATTGGCTGATATATTAATATGTATATTTCTATATGAAAACGACCCTGTTATGATTGGTTAACCTCTGGATTCTGAACTAGGAAGGAAGCTTTGCGTTTTCATGACATGTACCTTACTATCACATTACCAGAAGAGTTTAAGGTCTAGACTCTTACCTGGGATAACAATTGCTTGTTGTCATCCTCTAAAATCCGGACTTTAGTCTCAAGTTGGCAGATGTAGCTTGAAGATGAATCTGCACAAAGAATAGAGGGGACAAAAGAGAAATTAATTAGAAAATTTGGAAAATGGCATTTTTGTATATAGAACATCACATGAACTATAATTTAAAAGTTTGGGTCAGTAACATTTTTTTATGTTTTTGAAAAAAGCCATGCTGTATTTATTTGATAAAAAATACAGTAAAATATTAATGTGAATTGTGAAAATTGTGAAATTACACTACAACTTGAAATTATTCAGAATAATTCTAATATTGATTTGGTGCTCAAGAAACGGTTCTTATTATTATCAATGCTGCTTAATATTTTTGTGGAATTTCAGAATTGTTTGACGAATAGTAAGTTCAAAAGAACATTTATCTGAAAAATAAGTATAAAAAAATTTAATAGTCTTTACTTTTGCTTAATTTCATGCATCCTTGAGAAATAAAAGTACTTTTTTGGACAGTAGTGTGTATATATACAGTATATATATATATATGCATTCCTCTTATTTTCAATTCAATCCTTTGAGATCAGGACAGTTAATAGAGTCAAGATGATCAGCAGTTCTGTGTGGCCCCTATTTTTCAACCTGTGTAATTTTTTTTCGGCCCTACTCAAGTTTCTCCAAACATAATTTCTTATGTTATGAAAACCATTTTACTGTGAAAACTCCCTAAAAGTGATTTAGTAATCCCGGAATCTGAGTCATGTTGAAATAGTGCTGCTTTCTATTAGGCACTGACATACAATACCATATCCCAGAATGCACTGCGGCTACATGAGTTAAATAGGAGACATCTGTCAAAGCAAAAGAAAGACGCTGAAAGACGAACGTTTTGCACAATTCACATCCTACATGATCACATAAAGGCTTATACTTTAAAGAGGTCATTTAGACAACAAAGAAATCTCAAATCAGGAAATCTACACTGCCCTTGACACACACAAGCTGCTTTCATTTAAGCCATCTGACATTTGTCTCCAACAGAATCAGACGTCAAAGAAACTAGAAGCAAGGGTAAACAAACTGATTTCATGTCTGTGAAGTAAAACCCAATGAATCAGGATTAAAAAAAAAACAGTTTTGAAGAGGATCCTGAAGTGTTTGGTCTTGTGTGTATGCTGCATTCCCAGCATGCCTTTCATGACCTTTTGGTGATGGAGGGCCTGCCGGCCTGAGTAGATGCAAAAAGGAGCATGTCTGCCTCGTAATTTTATGTTGAAAATCCACAAATATCCCTTGCGTACTAGAAACCCTCCTGAAAGAGACCAAGAGGTGCTTAGTTATCTAAACATACTAAAATATCTAAATCCAATGATGAGTCATCTGGCCAATATCGCGAAATAAACCCAAACTGGGTGATCAGGACCCAGACACAAAACAGAAAGGTCTTGTATCAATCAACAACAAAAAAAGTAAAGTAAAATCAAATCAAATCAAATATTTTTATGTGAGAAAAACAAGATAATGCAGCCTGGGAATAAAATAAAACAATTATAAAACAATAATACAATTTAGCTGGCATTATGCAAATATATTTGCTTGCCGAATGCAACAATTGACCAATCAGAATCAAGTGTTCAAGAGAGTCATTTGGTACATAATTATCATTTCTTGTATTTGAATCACTTGATACAATGTCAGCATTTTTTATTTTTTTGTACTACAAATATCCAAGTGTTACAAATTCCAGAAGACAGACGTCATGAGGGTGATGTGGGTGCCATGCATTGGCACCATTCAGGAGTGAAGACTGAAGAGATTAGCTGTTTGAGAGTATGCACACGCACACGCTCACGTACACAAACACACACAGAGTGTGTGTCGCACAGGAACTAAGTAAGGATTGTGGGATTGGACAGATAAAGGTAACGGAGACCTTCAATGACAGCAGAATGAATCATCAAGGATTTTCTTGCTTTCATTTTCTCTGAAAGACCAAGGGGCCCTTAGGTTACAGAATAGGGACCTCCTGTTTAATACTGTATACAAATGAGTTTTGTATTTTATTTTTATTTTATTTTATTTAAAATTATATTTTATACACTACATATTAAAAGTTTGGAGTCTGTAAGATTTGAAAGCTTTTAAAGAAATTAACAAGGATGCATTAAACTGATCAAAAATTATAGTAAAAACATTTATAATATTACAGAAATTTTTTATTTCAAATAAATGCTGTTTTGAAATTTCTATTAATCAAAGAATATGAAAACAGTATTACATTTCCACAAAAAATATTAAGCTGTTTTTTTTTTTTTTTTTACGAGAAAGTTTCTTGAGCACCAAATCAGTATATTAGAATGATTACAAGCTATTTTAAATTGTACAAATATTTAGCAAATTACTATTTAGTGTATTTCTGATCAAATTAATGCAGCATGAGAGACAGACTCCAAACTTCTGAACGGTACTATATTTTCACAAAAATTAATTTGAGATTTGTCGCACACGTTTCTGCTCACACTGATATCCTTCATAAAGATGTTAACAACATCAGTCATGGATGGGCCGCCCGGCCATTTGAAATGAGATTCAAAGGTTTGTCGCTTACGCCCTTTGAACCCAGAACTAATAAACCATGCCCAGTCCTCATTTTCCAATCAATCATCTTATGCTTTCCCGGCCATTTTGTATGTTTCATCACAGTGAAATCAATGATCAAGACCGTTATCACCACCAGGTGTCACTGCAGCCTCTTACTTGCTTACAGTATCTGATGATCCCTTAATGAGGAGCACCAAACCAATCACTGCATTTGTTTTTTATTCATCTCTGACAATAATACATGCATGAAGATGGCGATTTGAAAGGTAATTTAATTTAAATATAACTCTGGGATGGACACATGTTTATGTGCCCACCAGAACCATAGTGGTAGGCAGAGGTCCTGATTCGTTAATCCTCTTTGCCAATCCTTGTGACCCTATAATCTAACTACAGTACATCTGATCACCTGACACACAGCCAAGCTGATTAGCGAGGCTGTCTACAAAGCCTGACCGGTTCTGCCACGTACATAACCCCCGCCTCAACCCACCTCTGGCGTTCCCCACCGCTGACCGGAGGAAGACGGAGCGGAACGCTACACTCCCTCCCGCTCCATTCACAGCCGGAGAGTCTTTTATCTCCGCAGGGCTGAAATGCAGCAGGAACTCTTTGAACATGCCAGAAAAATAGTTTTCTACACCCCTCTGTAATGTTTTGTTGGGTAACCCACAGAAATGAGGTATACGCCCAGATCTGAATACAGCCATTATCAGCGTAGAGAATTAATAGAGAATTGCACAAGCTTTCAATTGTTGACAGTGGGAAAACGAAGGGCATTATGAAAGGAACTTAAACACATATGTAGTCACATTCAAAAAGGACAAAAATAAACGCCCCCGGGTTATCAAACGAGCGACACAAAGTTAGGGATGGTCGTGAGAGCGTCGCCCATCTCTAGCAATCTCTGCTCAATTGGACATTCTCTGCTAGTGTTGCCAACTTAGCAATTTTGTTGCTAGATTTAGCAACTTTTCAGACTACCCTAGCAACTTTTTCTTCCAAAAGCACCTAGCAACAAAAAATTTCGTTATTTTAAAAAATTTATTTGGCAACATTTAGCAACTTTTGATAAGTGACTCAAACGATAAAAAAGGCACACATTTTCCATCTAAATTACACAAAAAGAGGAAACCAAAGGTGCCTAGCAGTACACAATTCACATGAATTAAGTTGGCTGCTATTAGCAATTGTTTAATTTAATAATAATAATAATAATTGAATAATTGTTCATTTATGATACACCTTGTTAGTAGCTTGTACTTGAGTTTGTTGATCAGTTAGTGCACGGTAAGAAAAATATCTAGAAAAATGTAGTAATTTTCCAGGACATTTTCCATTATCCATTGTAACCCTGTAACCCGAAAACACAAAATACAATGC